CTGCAAGTGGTTAGTAGAGATTGTCACTGTTCCAGTTCTCTAGGCAGAATTTAAACATGTAATTTATTCCAAATATAATACTTTGATAAACTTGTAAAGTTTGTGCCACACTCCAAAATTGAAGTTGAATCTATTTAATAGTTTGGCATGTTATGCCTTTGCTCACTCTTACAATGAGGATGCTGTAAAAGTTGCAGTTCTGTGAAGTCAACGCAGTGAGCATCTCTGGATCTGGCTTCTGTTGAAATTATGATTTTATTCTGACTCTGTTCTGACTCTGTCCTACAGTCTGAAGAATTAGATCTTAGTGATTGAATGAAAAAGAATTCAAGCCTTTTTCATTTTTAGTACAGTTATTCTGACTAATTTAATATCCTCAATTTAAAGTTGTAACCCAGGGCGTTGTCCCGCTAATGTAGGATCTAAACACACAGGGCAGGAGACATTCCATGATCAAGGGAAATTTAAATAGATTATTCCTCACTGCGTTTTACTCAATGATAACTACTTTTCAGTTGCCTTGGGGGTATTTTCTCTAAAGATAAGCATAATTATTTTTTATGAAATTATTTTGATACGACATATGAAATAGGAAACAGAAAATTGCAAAGTAATATAACAGTAATAAATAACTATTATAAGTAATGTTACAAATAAATAAGTTATAAAGTGTTACATAGCAAAATAGCAATATAGAAAGGAGAAGCCAAGGGGACCAGGTTTGTTCAGCCTGGAGAAGAGGCTGAGAGAAGATGTAATTCTACTGTCTAAAGAAGAGTTATAGGAGAAGACAAAACAACATTGTCTTTTTCAGGGGTGCGTAGCAAAAGCACAAGAGGCAACGGCTACGGCTTGTGGAAGGGAAAATGCTGACTAGACATACGGAAAATACTTTGCACAGAGAGGGTGGTGCAACAGTGGACCAGAGAGATGGTGTAATCTCCATCCTTGGAGATATTCCAAACTCAGCTGACATGTCCCCAAGCAGCCTGAAATAGCTTTGAAGTTGGCTCTGCTCTGAACAGAGGGTTGGACTAGATGACAGCCAGACATCCTTTCCCACTAAGTTTGTGGAGACCTTGCCTAAGCTCCCACCCCTTCTGAGAGATTTCAGAGTTATTTTTTGTCCCAACCAATGCTTGCCCCAAGTAAGCGAACACAGGTATCTCCCTCCTTCCTCATCTCAAGGAGCTGCTCTTCTGGTAAGTGGATCGGCGTGGTGTCAGGTCACCCAAGGGGAGAGGACTGGGGCTGGCACCAGGGCTGGAGAGGATCAAGAAAGTTGGTGAACCTGTGGTAGCCCCCAGATGTGGACTCCCTTAGGAGATAGCTAAGCCCTGCCTCCTCTGCTTTTATAAAAGGAGAACTTCTTCTGCACCTTTTAAGATAGCCGTAAGCTAGTTTTAAAGACCATGGTGACCTTTTCCACAGGGAAATCACTAATTAGGTGTATTTTCAGTTGCATTAATGGAAACTCAAATCTTAGCTGCTCATAAAAGGTCGCAGTTGTCTCTTGATGAGGAAGGTGTGGAAAATTACCCTCACTCACTCACAATCAGTAAAACTAACAAGCAGAACGATATGTTAACACAGACTTATTTCATCTGGACTGCCCAAACTGCTGTGCAGTATAATGTATATGCTAATGAACGGTAATTTACAGCTAATGAAATTCAAGAAACAGGCCATTTTTCTAGTTTACGTGCAGATGCCATCAGTGGGTCCCATTATTAATTGGTGGTGCAGTATACTGACAATACAAATGCTGGGCATGCCAGTTAAGCTGATTCTACCATAATACACACTTACTAAATTGATACACATTTTTCTTAATTCAGAATTAACATTTTCTTTCTTCTAGTTAAGTCTTTTACCAGTATGCCTTTAGTAAAATGCAAATGAAGGCACTTTTCTGTAGGAAGTAGAATGCTGAAACGATAACAAAGCACGGCTGGTAATTCCTCATTGCTGAGAGCTGGAGTTCAGGTTTAAGTTGAATTGTAACGGACAAACTTTTCCCTCCATGACTTAAATTATAATAATGCTGACAATTTCTATATGCTGAATACCTTCTTCCATGATCTTCGAAGAATTTTAGACGGACAGGTAGGAGTAGTTATCTTTCAGCAGGCAGGAGTCAAAGTTGCCCAACGTTGCTGTGAGCTCAGAATTGCTGGCCTCAGAGCCATTATTTAAAGAACAATATTGAGTAGCCATTTGCCCAACTGGGTGCATTAAAAGAGTTAAGTAATTCCACATAGAAGAGTTGTAAACACCAATATTTGGGTAAAATATACATAAGGAAAGAGTCTTTGATAATTCTAGACTCCCACAGATGATGTTAGCATCCTGCCTGCCTAGCCCATCTTTACAAAAAAGCTCTGTATACCTGATAAGGCAACTCTAAGCCATAATTAAGGATCACAAGGACCTTTTCCATAGGGAAGCTTTTAAATATAGAACTTACAGGACAACAGAACAGGAAGAAAAAAGACTAAATCCTGGTGCAATGCACAAACCTGGAGTAGTTCTGATGAAAAAAACCTTAATAACTTTCAGATGCAGGAAAGCATTTCTGAAGGAGTCAAAAAGCAGCCAGTCTCAGACAGTAGCAAGTATTACACAGCTAATGCTTATATGAACCCCCCATCAGCAAGGGCCCACCTGAACAGTTTGCAAAATGAAACAGTACTGATGTACATTTTAAGCTGTAATTCAGCATGCTGGTATCAGATTTACCATGATTATGAGCAGGAAGCTATATGGAGGTATCTGCAACATTTACTTCTTGGATGCCCAGAATTTTAAAACACTTTGATTATCCTCTTGTGAAATTGCTTTGGTTTTCAAAAACTTAAAAGAAATGGTCAGTTCTGTCATGTTTTGTTCACTTATTTCCAAGAGCACTGGCGAAAGCTGAAAAATTAAAACATACCCTGGATTTCTACTGCAGGGTTTTATTTAGCTTCTGATGCTACACAGATTCGCACACATTGTTCTAACATGCCACAGAGAATCAAAATTTTTGGAAATTAAATGATCTCTGTCAGGTCCACCAAAGTTTTAAATCAGTTACAATGGAGACAATTTAGAAGAAGACGAAAAAAAATCAGCTTTCCTATTGCATAATAATATTTAGTATTCATGAAGATTGCCATAGAAGTTATTTATAGGACTGATGTGAGTCTCAGGTATTCACTCAAAAGGTAGACAGACAATCTCCCATGAGTATCTATTTTTAAAATGTATAAATAAGGAATTATTTGTTGGAGAGTGGCTCACACCTGATTAATCTGAAGACAGAAGAAGTAAATGTAGAAGACCATGAAGCTCCTGGCTACATAAGTAACATCTGATGATTCACAGGTGGTTTAACAGCTGAGATTTCTGTAGCAGAAGTCTTCCAACAAGAACTAACTTAATAACATATATTGTGAATAGATTGCTCTCATTTGAGAGCAAAATGCTTTTAAAGCTATTATCTTACAATCTTTTATTTTATATTTAAATTTCAAAACATCCCATATTTGTGTTCTGATTGCGAACACATACATGCAAAAATTCTGAGAAGTCTAAAAGTCAAAAAGGCATTTCAGCTGTAATTCACATTGGGAAGAACAGGGAAGAGCTTAAGAATACCCATATGCATTGCCAAAAATACTCAAATGGGTTCTCAGCTAGAGTAGGAGGCAACACCATTCAAATGACAAGTTTTCGTTAAAGCTTGGAGGTAACAGACCATCATCTATCTTCAGATGTGGTAACTAGAGAAATCTTTCATTCAATGCACCTCATATTTTATGAAACCATTTTAGATGGAATTGTACCCAAAGGCTTTCAAGATCAGCTGAGTGGGTTTTCTGCACACATAAGCAGACTTAGGGCATATGAAAAATGGATACCAGCGTACTTTCACCAGAGTAGGAGCCAACAAATTCATTCAGAGTTTAAGAGATGGAAGTCCATTTTCCTTCTCTGCTCCTGATGGGAGGTCTACACAGTAAGCAGAGGCTCTAGGGGTCTGTTCTATCCTCTCTATTACATTTATTAATGAGAAAACAACGAAGAGAGCATTTATATTATTGTATGGGTGACCCCCTCACACAGCATTACCTGCATGTCACTGCAGAACTGAGTTTTGCAGATCTGGGCTTGCCAGAAACGTTAAAGTTGACCCCATCCATGGAAATATGATTCATTGGGCCAGGGAGAGAGCAGGCATAAGAATTTATTTCTGAAATTATCTGCACAAAATAGGCATAAATATTTTTGAACACATAAAACATATTGGAAATGTTGTTACACAAAGAACCATTACAGACTGCTAAATATAGGTGCAAACTTTTCTAATTACCAAGCTCCAACTCAAAGAACATTTAGATGCATTTCATGTAATTGTGAAATACGTAGATACATGGTTTAAAAAATAATTAAACAAAGTAAAGGAACAAAAATCAGTCAAAGACTGTTAAATTCAGAAGGCAATCTCTCTGGTACAGGCAGTCCTTCAGCTAAACTGCTGGTGGAGTTTTTCAGAGCAGTATCACTAAGTACGTCCTGCTCAAAGACTATTCCCATAATCACTGTCAGAGACAGGCCAGTGGGCTAGATAAACATCTTATCACAAGAGTGGATCAGAATAAAAACTTTAGATTCACTTCTGCAGTTGTCAATCATATCTTGGCTTTTCCATACTATAATTAGTAATGTGGTACTGCCATCAACTGGAGTTAAGAAATGTAAGGAAAAGGGTTTCTTTGAGTAGAAACTATGTTGTGCCACGGTGTACCTGGGCCTCTCAGCCTGCGTGGGATCAGTGTCTATACCTGGAAATTCAGAGGTCTTTCTGTCCAGAAACATAAAGGTTGCTTATGTGGTTTGCATGTATAAGCACAAAAACATCCAAGCTGCTTCCTTTCTGAATTAAGTCTGAATCTTCCCTCACGTATTTCCAACCTAGTAGGCAAATCCTTACCTTTTCTTTTCCGTGTAATTTTTAGGACTATCAGGAAGCTTCTAATTTGGAGCAGTTTGTGACTCGCTTTCTTTTGAAGGAAACACTGAATCAGCTTCAGTCCCTCCAGAGCTCCCTGGAGTGTGCCATGGAAACCACGGAGGAGCAGACTCGGCAGGAGAGGTGAGCAAACCTTCTGCCCAGCTGCAGTGAAGGGGGTGAGGAGCAGGGTCACCATGAATCTCCAAGACCATTTTACATTTCACCCAGCAACCTGATGTAGGGAATAACAGGAGAATTAAGGATACACTTTTTATTCCATATAGGAACTCATTAATAGGAGTTTTCCTGAAACTGAATACAAGCAGGTTCCAATCTGATCCTGTGGTGGGTTGCATGTTGGAGGGCCGTTTTGTTACATCCTAGGCTCTGCTCCTTTGACTTCTTTTTAAATCCATTGACTATCTAATATCAAATGCAGAAACCAGACCACTGCAATGTGAAGAGCTCTGAAACTACTAAGACCATTGACTGTCTCCTTGTTTATTTCTTCCGGCTTTATCCTTTTTTTTCATTCCTGGCTGCATATCAATCCCAATGTTAAGAGGAGAGATAGCCAGGCTCTTGCTGTTACAGCTTCTTCCTAGAACATAGGGCCATCGTATTGGTTAACATCTAACTCTATAAACTCTCAATCACCTGGGTAACCTATATCCGTCCAAGGGGTTTAGCTGAATTTAATACCATGACCTCATAGATGAGGGTTTGTAGGATCAAGGATCAAAACATTTTTGAAAGGTACTTGGCTTTATGGATTTGTTTTCCTCGGTATGCTACTGTTAAAGGTGATAGGGAACACTGTTGTGTTTCATGGACAAAGATGATCTCAACACTTCATATGTTTTAAAATGCATTGCTTTTTCATTCTTTCTTTTGGAAATGTCATTTTGTTTGTTTTGCTGTTGGTTTTGAGATCTCTGAAGTACATTAATAATACGCTGGGCCAGCAGTTTTGTGCCAGCAGCTTGACCACAGGAATCAAGCAGGTTTTGAAGGGCTGAGGGTGCACCAAGTATGCACGGTATATACCCCTCCATTCATGCATACGTCTTTCCAGGTTCCCCCCACAACTGATGGGAGAGAAAGAAGTCTTGGATAGCCAGTTCAGAGCTGGAGCCTAACTTAGGTGCTCTTACATCCTCTGGAGTAATCATTGACTTCTCTGACTTGCCTCTTAGGACAGCCTCTCTAGATATACAGTCTAGAAAGACCATCTGAGTAACTCAAACTACTCACTTGGGAGCGTAGAATTGGGTGATATGATCATCCCTTTTGCTGCCAGCTTTCTCGTCTGCTTTGACCGTCTGGTAGGGCATTGTGGAGACTTCTGTCTCCAGTTTCATTAGTACAGTTGTTCAGAAATATCCTCTTGGATGGTGAATTTGGATTGTGGCAAAGAAAATGAGAACGAGGTGTGACACTGTTAAGCCAAATACCATCTTCCCCATTTTCTGAGGTAGCAATGGAAAAGCCAGGCAAACTCAGCACTTTAACTACAGCTATCTTGGAGAAAATGAATTAGTTCCTAGTGCAGATGCCCCAGTCCCTATGTAAAATCATTTTCAATTACATTTACCTTAGCTCAGGGGCAAACTGTCTGAATCAAAATCCCATTAAGACACTCCTAAACTAGTTTAAGAGTGCTCACAGTTGGAAACTGCCATAATTTGGCTTACTGTGAAGGGATTTTATGCTGCAGAAAATACCATCCTAAAGTATCTCCTTAACATAGTGTGTGAGCTTTTGGTGAGCCTTCATTCTGTGCTTCAGGAGACCAGAGAGTTTTCCAAAGCAGTGACCAGGGAATTATTTACTAAACTGTTTAGAATACTGTCTAATATTCTTTGCAACCACTTACCCAACTAACTGTTAAAAAATAACCATAGTCCTGGTCCTTCATTGCTCTCCAGCTGGACGATGATGAAGAACCACATAGAGACAGCCTTCAGTCCTCACACAAACTCTGAAGCTTCAATGACTCTGTCATCGCAGTACAAACATAAGTCATTTCTGTATCTGCTATGTTTCAATGCTGGTCCTGGAAATGTATCTGTCCTCCATCCAATATTAGCTAATTCTCATCAGTTTTCCTTCCTTATTAACAGATACAAGTTGCTGTTTATCTTTTCAATCTTTAAGCTGAAGAGGTCAATGTTTAAAGTTCATATCTCACTTTTAGCTGTTCTTGTGCCCCCAGTTCCTCTGCAGAGATGCTACAAAACTCCCATGAATGAAGAAACGGTGTGAATGGTTCCTCAGGTCAGGTCAGAACCACATCATGGACAGGCACTGACCTCGAGCTTTCTCTCCCTAACAGATAGGTTTACACCAGCTTAACCCTCTTTTCTTTTTTTTTTTTTTACTTCTCTAATGACTAGTAACCTAAACACAACTAATTAGTAATAGTGAAAATCTGGAAAATAATTCCATTGTCTCAATAGGTATTTCTCCTTTTTTAATTCAAAAGGGAACATACGAGCACATTTTTTGAGAACAGAGAGAGGAGAGCTCTCCCACATGTTTTACCTTCTGAAGTCTCCTGTGTTTCTGTGCAGACAAGATCCAACAAAACCAGAAGTGCTCTCAATTCAATGGCCAGGAAAACGCTCAGCTCGAAGGCTTCAGAGGAACAACAGCCTGTCGCCAAATAGCCCTCGTTTTAGCACAGGTATGGTATTTCACATTTTAAAGATATTTAAAACACGTGCATACACACACATATACAGAAAAAATATACATGTATCTTCCTCTCAAAAATTTAATTTAGACATGGTAACTAACTCAGATAGATACTTTACTGACAGAAATCAATCTTCAATTTAATATAGAAGGTATTAGTTCAAACTGTAAAGAAAATGAATATGTACCAATAGATCTGAACTCATAAAAAATAAATACGTAATTATGGGCCAAACTGTGATATCGTTTTGGGGCTATGGGTTGATTCAACATTTCTTAGTTAATATTTGTAGCCTGCAGATAAGAATGAAAAGGCTATAACTTAGAGAACCAAGTTCTCTGTCATGACTTACATCCCAGCTGAGGGGAACAAACAAGAAACAGAAAGGGAAAATACAAAACCTGAAGGAAAAAAAAATCATTTAAGATGATACCAAAAAAATCTGAAACAGCATTTCTGCTTTCGAAAACGTGAGAGGGTACTTTGGTAAAAGGGATTCTTTGGAAGCAGTGACATTAAGCATAAGGCTGCAGTGAAGGCATCTCCAGGCTTAGTGATGTCTCCTGGAATCAAGGCATGAAGATGACTGAAACACCAAAGTACGCGATGGGTCAAGCCCACTTCTTGACCAGTCATGCAGATCTCACTGCTTGCAGACACATGCTTACCTCTTGCTTTTTAACCCTCTTTTGAAGACCCTTCTGTCACTCACATTCATGTCTCCCTTTCTGCCACTCACCAAATGATGCTGTTCATTCAGTGCAATGATACAGGATGATGTTCGGTCCCTTGCTGAGAGTTGCTGGTGTTCATAACAAGGAAGGTCACATAGCCTTGTTGCTCTACTCCTTATTCACAGAGTTCAGAAGGAACCCAAACATATGCAAGCTGTACCAAATCCACTTACTGTATTAATGTAATTTTAAAGAGCGAACATCTTTCTCTACAGCTATTCTAATAGCTGTCTAACAGCTGCCTACTTTCCTAGACAAGATTTGTGTTTGTCTTGGCACTTGGTCTTCCTCCTTACTGCCTGCTGCCCACAGGCGCAGTAACACTGTAGGTGTGTATATGCACTCAACACTCAAGCCAGCATTTCTTTAGCCTTCGTACTTGTTCAGGTAAAGCCACACTCTGCCTCCTTTACATACCACACCTGTGGTACGTGCCCAGCATTAGGATTTCTTTGGTCAAAACATGGTCCAAGTGCCACAAGAACTCTCAGCTGGAAAATGAGCAGGTTAATGAATGCACATATCAAGAGCATGTGTTGAAAAATCTTCAGTTTCTGATAAACAACCTTCCTCTCTCCTTAGAGCAATCACTTATGTACACGTTCACACTGTGGGAGATGCCAGGAACTGTTCTCCTAATGCACGTATCTGTTTCCTTGAGTATTATCCTTTCCATCTGATGATAGACAATTTTCTTGAGACTTTAGCAAAGCAAAATTTTCCAGAGACTTTAGGGAGACTCAGAGATGCTTGTGCCTTTGTAGAACATTTTCTAGCTTCACCTTTGCTATATGACATCAGGTCATTATACAGTCACAAGTATGACTGCAGTAGAGATGGAGAGCTAGGAAGTCTTCTGACAGGGTCATGTCCTACCCATATAAAGACACAAGACACAATTAACTTCCAGTGTCTTTAGTCTTTCCTCTGCTGCTGAATTCCATGACTTGGGACAAAAATAAACATAGGAAAGTTATTATGATGAAACATAATCAGTCTTGAGTTGGTCAAAATTTGCAGTCACCACAGGCATAAATTACACATCTCAAAACCAAAATCTCATTCTAGAAAAATCTAGCATAGGAATGATCAATCCTAATAAACATATTGCTGCAATTCATCAAGCACCTAGGAACACTGTTTGGTTGGAAAGGTAAAAAAGGATCATTAGCTGCAAGGGACATCCAGTTAATGTTATTAAATCAGCTATAGAGTCCACTGCAAGATTATATCCATAGTTAGTGGATGAACACATGAAAACCCCTAAGACAGCATATTGCAGATGACTGTAACAAAGCTGAAAACACCACAGAGTGCAAGTATAAAAACAGCTATTGCAGCTAAATAAACCTTTTCTGAATGAAGAGAAAGCTCCTTATTCCCAGTGCATATGAGACATTCTACGATTATGTTAGGACGCTCCTTCAGGAATCCCTCAATAACAGGATTCCTCATGCATATGAGACATTCTACGATTATGTTCAGGAATCCCTCAATAACAGGATTCCTCAACATGCCATGCCAGAACCCTAGATCATTTAGCTGCGCATGTACACCCAATTAGTTCTTTTCTGCTGTTCATAAGAATGTATTTTTTATTGGGAAGGAACATATATACTCCTAACCTTTGAATAATCCTGGAATCCTGCTGGAAGCACCGTGTCAGGACCCTAAGAACAGCAACAGGCCAACCACAGCAATGTCCTTGCAGTCAGGGCCCTACAGCAGGTCTGCTATCTCTCTGCAGGAGGAAGAAAGATCCTATCGCCTCAGCTGTATCAGCCATGCCAGGATATTTAAGTCAGTCTTGACTGCATTTCTTTCACCTTCACCAGTGCTCTCAGGGGAAAGAGGAACTGCAGAAAAGACACAGCACATGGTCCTTCCATGGGATGTATTTGAAAGGAAACCCAGAGACAGGCTTGCTATGCAGCAGAAGAGCTGACTCTTACTTTTATAGAAACTTTCACGTAAAGAAGATTAAGAAATGGCAAACTAAGAAAATATTAAGACAGAGAAAGCTTTAATACACACATACCCCCAAGCTGATTTTGCATTTTGAGCAGAAGGTGCTCAGGTTATAAACTCGTTCCATCTGCAGAGGAGAGCATTCCTTTCTTCAGGTATCAGCATGATTTCAAAAGCACTGGCGTTAATCTAGAATGTAGTTTTCATTCTGTATTGGATTTCTATTCTATCTTAAAAAGAAAGAAAATGATTCATATAGTCATAATCATGCTTTCCTTTAGTTACACCTAAATGAACATTGAACTAGTTGCAGCACAATCTTTGAGAAGCAAAATAAATTGCAAGCTAAGCTAAACTTTTTTATAAAATAAGTGAATACACTATGTTCCAGCATTTAGTAACATTTTATAAGTGTTCATTATTTATATTTTCCAAAGGTTGGACTGAGGAAGACAGCCAGTGGATGACCCAGATAACCAGACTCCAAAAGCTGATTGACAAGCTGGAAAAGAAGGTGTGTGTTTCTTTTTACCTGTTTGTTCTCTCGTTTTCAGTAAAGCAATCCTTAAAACACAAATGCTTTCAATGTCCCAGTCACAGTCTTTCCAATCAATAACGAGCGAAACGTCAACATCACCTAAGAGAGCTAACACTCATTAAATGCCTACATATTCCTTTCACCGTCTTCTTTCCTATTTCATGAAAGCATGACATGGTTTTCCCAAGCTCCTCTTTCCCCTTCCCATCACTACAGATCCAACTTTTCATAAAGATCTGAAAAGTCACATTATTCTATGACTGGAGGATGTTATTGTATTTAGTTATGCTTGTTTTGGGGAACACGGGACAAGCCTCTCTTTTTAGGATCTGATTTTTTTCTCTTCCTCTCCAAACTTTCCCACTAAAGCTTGACAGAAAGTTTTGTTTCCTCCTTCCCCATCAGAGAATACTAATTTATAAAGATTAAAACACTTTCCTAATAAGTACAGTTCGACCAAAAGCTGATGCAAATCCCACCATCCTGCCTGGGAGCCGTGGGAGCCACCCCAGCTCTGGGGCTGCACCAGCCCCCAGAGCCCCGAGACTGCCTGCGGTTCCCACGCCAAAGAAGAGCCCTCCGGGCGTCTGACGAATGACCTGTCTGATCCAATGATACCAAGGCTTCCCAGGGCTTGTAAAAACCGGAGTAATATCTGTCTGTGCAGAAAATATCTATTTCTTTTGTTTTCAATCAATCAGATTTATTGCTACCCTAGGTTTTAAAAGTTGGTTTATGTCTGTGTGTGGCGACTTCTTTTTTTTTGGAGAACAAAGAAGAGCAGAAGAAAAAGTAAGGTATAAATTCCTGTGTTGTTCTCTACCTAAAGTGTCCCTATTGAAGGACAGACAGACAATTTCAGATAGGTGCTAAGGGAGTGGCTGAAGTCAGTGGATTTTGGGACCCAGGGGATTTCTTCCTCCTGGTCCACTAGAGGCCAGGTTTTCGGTTGAAGTGCTCTCAGACCCAGGAGTTGCTCCAGTCCCAGCGCGGCTGATGCCGCCCCTCCCTGCAGGTCAGTGCTCACCAGCGGCAAGGCTGTGCATGTACTCCAAGGACATGGATCTACGCACACCAGCACGGGTGCCTTCACCAGCAGCCGCAAACAGACAGGCAGCACTCACAGAAACATGAACGTGCAACAGCCTGATCCTGTTCCTTCTTTCCAGCTGATCATGACGGACGTTCCCCCGTGAACATTATCATGGGCTTCAAGTCCATCTAGTACTTGTGGCTGGACCCATGCCCCTTACCTAGGCATCAGCTCACACCTGGGGTCCTGGCAGACAAGCGTCTCCTCCTACTTACCTGCTAGTCCAACTTGAGTTCAGTAGCAAATTATATACCTAAAAGATAGTTAAGTAAGGGATTTAACAAGAAGACAGAATAAATGGTGGTGATCCGGCACAGGGCTCAGCAAGACAAGCATGCTGATGTTTCTCTACCATTGCTCCCTCCCCAGTGAACAAACTGCCCCTAATTACTTTTCCCCTTTGGTCCCAGTTTGGGACAAAAATGTGGTATTTCTGTTATCTCTGCCTTATTACTGATTAGCTGCATTACCGATACAGTCACCCCGGCACTGCTAGCCTTGCAAGACTCTGCTCCCGAAAAGGAGCCCAGTACTCCCTTTGGTTATCCCTGAGGTCTGACAGTCTCTCGCATCGCTTCTCCTTAACCAGCCATGAAATTCGGCCATTCCTTGTGGCACTGTCTGTAACTTCCGTCAGCTTCTCACTCTCTTCCTTGCTATGCTCAGCAGCTCCTCATGGTCTGCTCAGTCCATTAAGCCTCTGGCCAGGGCATACTCATCTGTCTGCACACAACAGCTTCCTCCCAGAGGTCATTTCTGCATGAGAAAAGCAATTATACAGCAGTTGCCATGTTAATGACGTTTTAATAGCAACTTGATTTTTTCTGCACATCTATAAATTAGATTTTGAAATGTCAAAGACCATCATGAAATGTAACTCTTGCTTTTGGTCCAGCTTTACTCCCAGCTCTGCTTTGGAAGCAGTAGCTCGCTGGCCTGCCACAGTGACCTCCCAACACGGACTGATGCCAAAAGGAGTTTAAGGAAACTTAACATTTTAAAGAATGTTACTGAAAAAAGAAACCTGGCATACAGCAGTAATGCAATGCAAACGTTACAGAAAGCAGCCAACTATTTTGTAGTAAATAAACTTACAACAAGGATGTTATAAAATGATCAAATCTGCTACAGATAAATGACAGAGAACCTCAGTTTGAAAAGGAGCTCAGTGCCAAAGGAAAACAGTAGCAGGGCATAGACCTTCCATAATTATCTCCTTATCAATATAAAACTTGATTAATAAAACATAGCAATTAGACAAACCTACTTTTGCTAATAGACAGACTTTGCATCTGCTTGACTTTGTATCTCACGGCCAGGTCTAACTGTGAGAGGTGAGAAGTTCACCATTTCTGCAGCTTCTCCAGAACCACCTCCTTTGATTGTTCTTCTCTTGGCACTTCTTTCTGGCCTCTGTGAACTAAAAAACCCAATTTACTAGGCATGCAACTTAGAAATCATAAAACTTCTGGTCCTATAAAGTATCCTAAGGCGCGTTAAAAAGACTGTGAGAATTCTTTTGTATTAACGACATTCCCTCTTGTCCTCATTTTATTAGATCTTACACTTCATTACAGTAGGAGGAGCTCCCTGTGATCCATGTTTAAACAGCATCTAGCAAAACAGTGTCTGGGTCACGACTGGGACAGGTACATATTGCAAAAGGGATGACAGTGCCTCTTAGCAGCAGGAGACTGTCAGCCCATCTACTCTGTTCCAAAGCAAAGTCAAGAAAAGGCAAAGTCAAGAAAAAGCAAAGCTGATCGCTTCAATGACCACTGACTTCAGGCTGAAATGAATTAGACAGAAACATCAAGTGGTGACCAACCATTTGGTCACCACTTCCCACCTGGGATCAGGCCGTTACATATGCCATCTCTCTGCAGCAACTTAATCATTTTTAGCCCAGATGATGTTCCAGGTTAACCCACCACATCCAACCAAGTGTTACATTTAGCTGCTTTTCAGCAGCTACTAAAGCTCTTCTTTTTGACTTTGCCCTGAAGCAGATTAGAAGGATCACACAATCACACTAAGAGACAATTTCAGAAGCTACCACTTCTCAGCTGAGGTGAGGTAGGCGTTGTAAAGCCTCAGCTCTGAGCTGCAGTCTTGGTCACTTTTCATTTCCAGGCTGCATGATAACTGTCTGGCAGGAGCTCTCATCTCCGCATTGGGCTACTTCACTCACGCTCAACATCGAGTCAGCTGATGCCTGAGCACTCTTTCTGCACAGATGAGGACTGTATGTCAGTGCTCGCATGCTCCGAGGTCACAGCAAGCTGTCTGTGTAGACTTGCCTCATCTGTGTAGTCATGCCCTGTCTAATGACATAATATTACTGAAGAAGCTGTATAGATTATTTTTAACTTCTTGAGAGGGCCAGCAAGTTATCCAACCTACTGGATGTTTCCTACTGGAAAACTACCTGGTGAATGGTTGATTTAGTATTGTGTAACTCTTCTGTTGTCTTCTGTCAAAGGTGAATTTAACCAAGAATCAGTCTTGTAAGCCGTCTTTTTTCTCAAGTTCTAAAGTTATATATACTGGAAAAAACAGAATTCTTTTCTTGGTACCTTAAGAGAAAGTTTACAGTACAACTTGAGTCATTCCTTTCCTCTCTTTTTCCTTAGGTTTCCCTAGAAAAAAATTGCACTGAAAGTATAGAAGAACCACAGGAATATGCATTTTCCCTCAGGGGTTTTATCTGAAGTGTCTGCACTGACAAATGAGCTATTAAAGCTGGGTGTTGCCCCCCCCGCCCCCCATTTCATGCCTTTCTATGCACATTCTGCAGGAGAGGTACAGCTGCACTGCAGTTCCTGTGTGACTGCTACTTCACTCCTGCCTTGCTCTGCCACCTGCTGCTGGTGGAGGTCCCCTGTTCATTTGAATTCTACCTGCACACCTCTTGTTGGCTTTTCAGCGAGTACAGTATTTGTGCTGGCAAAACACTTGCTACCTGAGGTTAATCAATCCTCACCCAGCTGCAAGCAGAAGAAATTTCTTTGTCTTTGTTACACAAGTTGTTTGCAATGAGGAGCGAAGCACCACTAGCAAAGAGTGCATTTTGCTCCAGCCCCTTATAGCAAATCGATCTGCTTTTTCTCAGGCATACGGATATTTTTCAGAATAGCCATATGGCACTGGGTTAGAGGGTACTGCATGTGCCTAGCACGTAAGTGATAATTTTGTGTGCATTACTAGATGGTGTTTGCATGAATCACTGATTCATGAAGTGCGCATCCAGTTTGCGTGTTAAGCATATGCACATTCTGCAGGAGAGGTACAGCTGCACTGCAGTTCCTGTGTGACTGCTACTTCACTCCTGCCTTGCTCTGCCACCTGCTGCTGGTGGAGGTCCCCTGTTCATTTGAATTCTACCTGCACACCTCTTGTTGGCTTTTCAGCGAGTACAGTATTTGTGCTGGCAAAACACTTGCTACCTGAGGTTAATCAATCCTCACCCAGCTGCAAGCAGAAGAAATTTCTTTGTCTTTGTTACACAAGAATTGTTTGCAATGAGGAGCGAAGCACCACTAGCAAAGAGTGCATTTTGCTCCAGCCCCTTATTGCAAATCGATCTGCTTTTTCTCAGGCATACGGATATTTTTCAGAATAGCCATATGGCACTGGGTTAGAGGGTACTGCATGTGCCTAGCACGTAAGTGATAATTTTGTGTGCATTACTAGATGGTGTTTGCATGAATCACTGATTCATGAAGTGCGCATCCAGTTTGCGTGTTAAGCAAGCATACTGCTGCCTCAGAGATGCATCTGTTTGCTGCTGCCCAGTCTGTCCTCAGAAGCAAGTGCAGCAGTTCAGAAACCTGACTTGGAGCACCGTGCACATCTTTTTCAATGCTGGAAAACAGACCCTTGCAACTATACCCCCTCCCTGCAAGAAGCTTCTTCTGTATAAAGTTTTATGATGGCATAATAGTAGCTGATAGTTCATTTCAAATTACCAACCTTGCTCATCTCCGTAGTCCACGTGACAATTTGAGAAGGTACTTGTTTTTTCTGAATTAAGTCCAACATACATTTGTGAGCAAACGGATTTTTTACAAATGAAAAATTACCTGCTCAGCATTATAAATAAAACTTTACAGAACAGCCTGGGTTGGATTTAACCACTGAAACATGCAAGATTCTGCAAACAATGCTTGTGTTTGACTTACAGCTAATAAAGAAGGGATTTAATTATAACTTCTGGAGATATAACAAAATCTAGCTAGTGGAACAGCTTGTTAAAAAGGTAAGACCAAAATACAGCTGTAGTATTGCCTCTTATATTTCTATTTTCTTTTCAACTGCCTGAAAGGACCTAAAGCTTGAGCCATTTGAAGAGGAAGTTTTGGAAGAAAATGCAAAATCTGTAAGTGCTTTTCAAGATAATGACTTTTAACATTTCATTTTCCATGCCAGGTATTGAGACAACAATCTCACCTGATCTCTTCTGTTAAAAAATAAAAATAAAAAAATCACCATCCTCCCTTTTCCCAGTGATAAGAATCCATTTTAGTCAGCAGAATGCATTGTGCAAGACACAACACACCAAAACTTAGAATATGTGGTCAAAATTAATTTTTGCATTGTTTTCAAAGGATACAATGAGGCAAAAACTCAGCTCACATAAGGAGTAAAAGGTGTCATTTATAAGTTTTACTGAATTTGGCAGCAGTGCTTATGGGGTGATAGCTTCTCAGTTCCCGATCCTCTAATGCTGCATGCATGCTTTAAATCATGGTTGTACAGCCAGCCTCCCTCCCTCCCAAAACTGCTATAGGAAGCCTTATCAGGGAAGATGGGAGAGCATCTAGTGTTGAGCAGTAATCAATATTACAACTGACAAAACCAAAATCATAACCAGAAATAAACTTACTTTTAACTGAGTTCGGGTCCCAAGATCAAGTTTTCAAATACACTAGCATTCCTAAACTCTGGGCTTTAAACGTAACAAAATGCAAACCAAATACACAGGAAAAAATAACCAAAATAGATGATCCATCAAATTCCTTATTTCATCACAGGAGTTGTATTAGATTTTTTTTTCTTTTTTAAATGAGATTATACAATATTGCTAGACAGGCTGCTTATGATGGAGGAATAATCCATGAGGTAACAGTATCAATAATCAAGGCAAAAACAAGTCAAAAAGCTGTACAAGAGATGAAGTTGTATAAATTAAGAAGCACATGGTGTTTCTTTATATATTTCATTATTAAAATTGACAAGCTTCAATGGATAAATCAATATGTAAACTACTTATATTAGCTAAATGATAACCATAATAATTCAGGATAAATATGTCTTCTGTACTGCCAAGTGTTTCCATAGTCTGGTTTATAAAGATTGTTCATTTTTTGCAGAAAGGTGGAGGAAAAAAACCCCTCTCTATTCATCATTTAACACGGGCCACCTTAGGCATCTCATTCAGGTGTGAGTCAGAGCTCTGAAAGGTAAAAGACTACAAGAGCACCTCAGTGAAAGTAACACTGCATCCAATGCAGATTGTGGGAATACGTTCTCATCTCAAACCTCACACCTGCTTGCATACAGACGAATCCAAGGAAACGTGCTGACTGTATTATCGAATATTCCAAAGATAAACATTTGCTTTGCACTATTCTGAAAAGACTCTCTCATCCAGGCTTCGGACAAAACTCAGTTTCTCTAAGGTTGATGCTAATTTTGGGTGCCTCAGCCTGCCAAGATAGAAAAGCTACACTCAGGTGTTTCTACTTCTCCACTCCAAAGCACTAAAACAGGGACCACAAACTTCGAAGGAACTTTTCGGGGGGAGGGGGGGGTGTTGATGATTGTGGTTTTTATTGTTTTATGATAGACTTTTTGGAGTTTAAAGTACAAGGAATTCAGAAGATGATATGGCAGTAATATTGTAATGTTTTTGTATTAGCACATAATGATCGTTCAACGTCAAATGTCTGTGATAGAAGAAGACATTGAGGAATTCCGGCTTGCTCTGAAGCAGTATGTGGAATCTGCTTCTACTCAGGGTGGCTGCTTGCAGTAAGTACAGTGTTATTACCCCTGGGCTGAAGGAAGGAATGCAGTGTGATTTCTTGAATAACCTCTAAATGGAGCTGGATTATTTATGAAGAGAGAACCTGTAACATCTTCTTTCCTGGCTGGTTATGCAAGTGTGTAAAACAGAGCTTTTCAAAGACAACTAAAATCAGAAAAAGATGTCAAAGTATACGCGCAGACTTTAAGTAGTATCAAAAAATTACAACACAGGCTATCCCAAAGCAAAGATGCTAAACAATCTTTTAAGACTTCCCAGCTCTGCAGGTCATCAATTCATGGCTTCTGGAAGCTCCTAGGCTGGCACTCTTTATTGGGGAACTCATTTGCCATCCTTCATTTGTGGTCACCTGGCAAGTGAGCAACTTACCAACTTGTTTGCCAGTTCTTTGTTTGGAAGCTTTCAAAAATCTTCCCTTTAGGCTGTCATTTTAAAATTTTCATTCATAGTAAAGAATAGGAAAAATTTAAAAGCAAAATTTTCAATGAAATAGTGTATTCCTGCTTTGCTCCTTTTAGAATTAAATAAAACATTAGAACTGGGTTAAGAACAAATTTTAGTGACTCACCACTGTACTGAATTTCTTAATTCAACATACTTGAGAAAGCTACTACTGTACACACTACAGACCATCATGAAATAAGTATTTTTGTAATGTATACACAATACAGGATCTTCCTATATATTCAAAGGCTTCAAAGGCTGCCTATCACATCCCTAATTTATAATATGAGATCACCACACTTAGGGTGATTGTACCAGTAGTGTTCACACAGACCAGAAAAAGTAAGTTAAGCTGGAAGAAGAGAGTGACCTTTTTGCAGTGGTTCACTTGTAAAGGCAGACTGATGAGGAAAATAAAATTCTCTTGTGGGCCAAGAGCTGGAAAAAACAAAGAGAAGCCCCCCAGCCCCCTTCCAAAAACTAACATCCAGCCAAACACTGTAGTGACTGCAAACTTGTCGGGGGGGGGAGAGCTTACGTGACTTCAGAATGCAACTTAACAAGCGATGGCAAAAAAATTACTTTCTTTCCCAAGTTTACAGGCATTTGGTAAGTCTGTAATGCCACCTACCGGTTGTTTTTCACTGTAGCTGTTTATGACATTGACATTTTTTCCAACAGTTCTTGATATTTTTGCTATTTTACAATGTACTTTTGCATACAGCTGGAGAAAACCAATAAATTGTATGAAATTTCTTATTACAGTATGAAATATAATCTGAGACCAGTTTGCAAGCACATCAGTAGTAAGATCAGCAACCTCACACTTGGGCACTCAGAGAAATACATATATATATATACACACACACACTTTTTTTTGTGCTATATGTCTAAACACCAATTTGAGTACCCAAATGCCTAAGTACCCTACATGCTATAAAGCTGTTATGCTCAGGATAATAAGTGGGATGATTCTGTGTAGAGGATCAGCAGATATTCTGTGGGTCATTTTTCACCCATGATAAATTGTTAGCTGAATGACATAAGGACAAGTAAACAATACCAAAAGGTATTATTTAAAAAGTGTATCTGCAGCAGACATCCGCCTATCTGTCTTTATACTCCATTGCTATTTGCTTCCAAAGCACCTAAACTCTATGCCACTTTGACGCATCTCTCGTACAAAAGGATGACTTCTCACAGTGTAATTCTTCAACTAAACAGCACAAGTTACTCTACAAACTTACTTGAACTGTTCTCTATGTGCAATATGCTGTATTAGCTGATTTTCCCTGAACCACAGTTGCTTGATTTATTTTCTATTACTGACTAGCATTTCTTGAGATAAATTACACTATTGGAGCAATATGAAAAATGAGTTTCTCAAATAAGAGTCCATCATAAGTGTACTAAGATAAAATATTAATAAATAAAAAGCCATGAAAATACTCCATGAGTTTAAAAGAAAAAAAAAAAAAAAAGGCTCAGATAATTCACAGTATAATTCCCAAAATCACTTATTTGTTAAATTTATTATTTGGGGGGGTTTATTTGTTTTTTCAAAAATCACTGCATTCGGTTCATACTCATAAGCAATTTGGAATAAGATGTGTACATCCAATAACTTTGTCACGTTTGATTAAATTAGTTCTATCCTACAATTCTTAGTGTTTCCATACAGAAGCTTCCAAGTGATTCCCGCTTCATTGTTTATGAGTTCTGGGAGAACAGCAATGCCTGGAATAGGTAAGTTTTGGGTTTTTTTGGTTTTGGGGTTTTTTTTCTACTACAGAAAGTTTTGAAGGTTAGAGAGCAGTTGCATAGAAGGACTGAATACAAATTACTTCAAATACTGCTAATCGATTTCTTGCTAAATACATCACAGTGAATACTTCAGAACAATACTTCAATTTCTAAAGACTAAAACATACCGAAACGTATAAATAGAAATGTCAGAAAGATGCAGCTAGTTTGAACAGAACAGAAAATGTCTGAAAGTGAACAGAGAAACAGAACAGAAAATGTCTGAAAGTGAACAGAGAAAGGTATGGCATCAGATGTATGGTACTTGATCAGAGGCAAAATAGGGAAACAGCAATATCACCATAGTTCCATGATGACAATGCAAGAAAGGAATGAGACAGGGGGTGCGCCATCCAGCCACGCACTCAAGCATGCAAGCAGTCATGGGGAGCTGTCCCAAAGCTTCCCAAATCCACATCACAAAAACCCATCCGACAGATTCCTAGAATGTCTGGTTTGGGCCCAAAATAGAAGTTACAGTGATTAAAAGTCCTACCAGCTGAGTTCTAGCCTGCAGCAGGCAGATGGCTAAGAAACTGAGTAGAGAAAAAGATTTTCCTTAACTGCTTTTACTATCAAAAAAAACCCCAAACAAGACCCACGATCCTAAATCTGTAGACAGAAGCCATTCTGAGGGAAGACGGAGAAGTTTCTTGAAGCTTAGCTTCCTTCCTTTTGAACAAAGCCCCAGTTCAAAGTTTACCTCCAGAAAGACTCAAGAACACTGGTAACACGTCAACACACTTGGAACAAGAACCGCTGTACTGGGTCACAACCAAGAGATGAGCATCAGGGTAACAGTTAAGCATACAGAAGAAAAAGTGTCTTTAATAGAACATGCAAGAACTTCACAGCTCATCTGGTCTCCTCTCCCACTATCATTTTCTAAGTTTTGAAGCACAAAATCTCTGTTATAGCATTAATTGTAAAATTTCTGATGCTCATAAAAATTTTAGCCCCTTTAAAAAAACTTGATTCTTGTTCTTATTTTTCACAACTATTTAGCCACCTTCAAATGAATTACAGCAAGACATTCCAAAGAAGTAACGTGGACTTCTTGGAAACTCCAGAGCTCATCACAACAATGCTGATCCCTGGTAAATATCAATTTTTCACACTATTTTGTTTATTCCATGTGAAGAGTTCTGCTATATTAGTGTGTTCCATATGCAGGACCACTGCATAATGTCACCCTTAGTCAGATTTTCTTTGGTAAAATATGAAGGAGAAAGGGACTCCAAATGTTTTTATTTTAAGCACAGAAATGTAAAATGCATCAGCAAGAATAAGACCCACAATGTTTTATTTTATATAGTGGAAGGTTACACAAGCATATAATATTTAAGAAAATATCTAGAATAAACAATCCTATTTGTGATTAGTAAAACAGACCCTGTTTAAGATTTTCAGGAAAAAAATTGCTTGCTGATGAAGACTTCAACTTAATCATATTTACATTGACTGATGCGAGTCTTAATTACTAACCAATTTATTTTACATGCTTCCTGCTATGTTAAAACAGGGAAAAAAACAAACAACTTTGAAAAAGCAAGGTGTTAATGATTCCAAATTACTATTTCTAATACAAACCAATGAGCATGCAACATCTTCTTTCTCAGAGAAATGATAGTTAAAAGAGACAGTGCAGGATGAAGCAAAGCAAGCATCAGTCCCATATTTTCAGAGGGAGGACAGCAAAATTTTTATCTTAAGCAACACAAATCTATTACAACGAAACCGTAATTTCCCGTATGTCTGATTACAGACTATATTTAAAATACTAAAACCTGACCTGGTAGAAAAAAAAAATTACGTAGTCCTGTACCTGCAGTTTCTCCTTAAAAGAAACCAGCCAAGACATTTTCAGACCTCATGAGCCTGATCTAAACACACAATTACATGCCAGGGATTCCTGCAGTATCAGGAGACTGCACTTAATGAACCAAGACCCCCTTCGAATCTTGTATCTTACTGGGAAATTGCTGGATTTAAGACAAACTTGGCTGTAGGAAACAACGCGGCCTTTTCCCAAACTACTTTGTGTCCCAGAGCTAGCCTGGGTATGACCCAGGAGTGTTCCAGGGGTGGTTTACTCACAGCTAAAGTACAATTAACATAAAACAAAATGTAAACATCATTTATAAATGCCTAAATATAGAAGTGTCTGAAACTGATTTCAAAATGCTTGTTGAAGCATCGACTCTGCCTGCTAAGAAGGATTTCAGCCCGCAGCACTCTGTCCTGGCAGACAGTTGCCATAGAAACAGCATTTCTCACTGTGCACTCCTTGCTGGGGGGGCAATGGGAAGCAATGCATTCACAGTTATTTTTACAATTCCATAGATTATCTATTATTTAGAAATCTATGCAGACATTTGAACTTTTGTTTCATGGAAAGTACTGTTGATCTACACAAATCATGCTGGTATTGGAAAGACAGAAAATGTTCGTGAAGTAAAAAATAACAGCTGCAATGCTGCCAGTATACTTCATGAAAGAAGTTTAGACACCGTAAAGTGATACCACTGTAAAATCAGGAAAAAAAAAGACCTCTCTGCAACTAGCACATAGATCAGCTCTGTTTAAAAACAAATTTACCCTAGCCCAGACACATCTACAGTTTTTTACACATCTGGTTAACTAAGAACTGAAACAATTCTAAATTGTAATCTGAATCTGATTCAAAGATTACAACCCAAGAGTCTTCACTCAGCTGATTAATTAGAATTAATAAGGATACACTTACCTGGCTGAGAATGATTCAGGAAGACACGGGATTTCACGACTGTTGGATCCAATGCGATCCCAAAGCAAACTCACTTACCATCAGTTAACAGGAACCACAACCTATTATAATCACCGGCACACCTGTTAGCCGACCTAGTTGCTTCAGGCCAATCTGCCAGGGTGGCATGGATCACCCAGTTCATCTTCAGTGAATGCCTCATCTTTACGTAAGATCTGGACTTGAGGACACTGGAGAACCTTTTGGTGAAGGAAATGAAAGCTAGGGGAAAACCGTTGAACACTTACGACACTGTAATCCATGAAATAAACTGTTAAATTGGCATTTTTTTGGCCAAAATTCATTAATCCATTGATGTGTCGGAGACTACTAGGCTTTCATAGCCCAAATTCAGGTAGGATTTTTAAGTATCGTCTCAACGTTCTTCTCCAAGAATAACAGCTTTCAGAAAAATGCCATAAATCGAAGGATTTATGGACACATTCACAGAAACAAGTTGTGTTAATGAATTTAATCCCCAAACTGGGTAGTGCAAAACCTACTGAGCCTACAACACCCCCCCGGCTAAGAGGACCTGGCATCTCAGATACAGTCACAATTCCTTTCCTTCCTTCCTGTCTCTCTCCATAAATCTTGTGGTTCCTCTCTGCATAAAGTTCAATTTCAAAAGGGCAAAGGGGAGGGACTGTGGGGAAGAAGTAGAAGTGTGTTTCGCTCCAGCCCTGTCTATAATCTGGTGATTACAGATCTTCTTTTACGGGAATAACATTTTACAAGTCCATCAATTCTCTTACTTTTGGGGCAAAATGCTCTTCATTCCTAGAGTTGTGTAAAAAGAACAGCACTAGGTTTCAATAATGTCACCAGGAAAGAAAGTCATTAAAGGCAGCACAACCACCCAGGGGACACGGTGATCCACTAAAATACTGACACACGCAGCAGAACAGGAGGGAGGGTTTTGCTCTCTGGGATCTGGGCACTTAATTCTATGCAACCACACCTATGACACGTTAATGCTTCTTTGGATGTTATCAAAAAGAGATAATCAATTCTTGTGCTAAAGCCACCCCCCACACACCGCCAGTTATACTCAGCTCTCCTAGTATTTTCAGTATTCTTCCCCTGCCTGGAGAGGTTTTGTCCTTGAAAGTATGCAGCTTTCAAATGAAGTAGTATTAGCTGCATTTCTTTATATACCTTACAGATATTTTATTTAGGATTTCTACCAAAGGTAGAAATACTGTTTATGTTAACAAACAAATAAATAAATTCTCCTCTCTTTCAGCATCGTGGTGGGTCCTCAATAACAACTAGAAGCTGTGGTTCCAAGTGACATTAAAGTTGCAGTGGTTTTCGCTACAATAACATTCATCTAGCAGTGTACATGTGTGCTGGGTTATGAATTTATGATGTGATACTGTTCGTTATTATGGATGTGACCTTTTCCATTTTAAAATATGGAAAACCACACATTTATTACCTTCTCTTCTTGTGACTAGTTCAGTGAAATGATGCATTCTAAAAGCTGAAATAAGGCAACTATGCTAAACTGTCTATTGTGTATATTCAGTCCAAACTGTCACAGAAAAGTGCATCTTTATTGGTATGACTAAATATTTGTGAAAAGTTCTAGTCTTATGTTAATAAACAATTGTTACTTAATGCTAGTTTTCTCCTTTTACAGAAGAAACAGGTATGAACATGAACACACATTTTCATAGAAGCTGTAAGTCATTAATTAGGAAAATAAACATAAGGGACAACTTTTTGTGTTAATACAGAACTTTACTCATACAGGAAATTTTCTGCCCACGACAAGACAAGGCAGCACCATTTTCTCTTCACAGCCTCTAGCCCCTATCCTCGCAAGAGGAACCATGTCTGCCTGTCTGCCAAGCCGCTTTGGATCCACAGACTTAACGCTTCACAACCAATTTGCTTTGAACCCTAAGTCCTGAAGACTTAGAAAACATTTTAATTAGATCACTGGCAGCTCACTAAAAAGTCTTTAGAGAAACCACTGTCAGAGCATAAATAGCCGTAAACCTGGAAGTAGAAATACTTTCTTCCCTAAGAAGACGTGCTGTTGTCCCTTGCATCTGAGCAGTAGGTGTACCCTCCAGCCTAAGAATGAAAGGCAAGTGACTATTGTAACCTCACACCTCCATGACAGGTTGACAAGCTCTGCATGCTGAATGACCACTCTCTCCACTCATCTAGCAGTCCAAAGTTACAAAGAGTACCCAAAAAGTAACTTAAAAGTCATCTTCAATAAAATATCTTCTTAACTGTAGGATTTATCTATTTTTATTTCAACTCAACCAACACATTACCATATGTAATTAAAAGTGGGGAATTTGGACTACAAACGAGCAATCTTCATTGCAGTAAGGTTCCATATTCCAGAAGCTATGACCAGGATTGAGCTCAAGATTAAGAGAGGTGTCACATTTTTGGTACCTGCACAGGACCAAGGCATCTTGGCTCCTATTGTATCAGTGGGGTTCTGAGGCAAAATTAGTTGCCTAAGCAAAGGCATCTAGTACATGTGAGATGCTGTAGGGTATCCCCACTGATTTCCAGCTCCCAGCTGAGAAGGACATGAGTTACCTATAGGTTGTGTGTCATTTATGCCAGCCCCATGCAGCTGCTTCAGATATCCTACATGTCTCAGATGACACCAGATGCCCACCGTTAGGCAACTGAATCAAATCCTTTGCCAATAAAGTCAACGGAGCTTAGGTTCTCTAAGCAAATGTGGATGTCAGAAAGTGATGCCCGCACACCTGAATTTAGGTGCCCATGTTAGAGACAAATTTCACCTTTAAATCTTCTTACAGTAACTCAGCAAAAGTGAATGCTTCTAATACTGAAGTCCAAAGCTTTCCCATATTGACATGATCCAACTACAGATCTGTTCATTCTTAAAAAGGCACCCAAATAGCCACATTACACTTACAAATGACAGTGGAAGTTTAACGGTTTCTTGTCTTTAGCAAAGTAAAACTACTCATATTCCTGAAGATCTGGCTGCTTTTTTTCCTATGCCAAGATGTCAGTCTAGTGTACAGCATGTTTTCTTTTGTCACTACTAATCTACCAACAAAGGAAATACAGTGACATGTGACACTGCTGCAGGGTAAATCCTTAAGTGAAAACTGACACGCTACACTGAGGTTTATGACATTCTTCCTTTTCACTGGATAAACTGTATTAAAATTATTCTTAAAATAACCTGCTTTAGAACCTCAAGTCAATTAGGTGCTGGAGGGGGGGGAAGTTCTAGTAGGTCATTCTCCTTTGTATATTTACTAGTAAACAAACACTGTGATGAATCATACACAAGAACAAGTTTGAGAAGTTTCACTTAAGAGTTTTGAGAGCTACACACAGAAATTGCCTTCAACACATACCAGGAAAAGAAATCTAGTGTCTATCAAATGCAGCTTGAAAGTTTTCTGCACTATCGTGATTACCATTCAACACATTCTCATTTAGCTTCCATTATCATTTGTGACAGAGGTTAAAAAACTGCCTTCAGTGCCCAAATGATGTTATTGCAGGTCTGAATACAGGTTTTGAAGGTAATTATATTCATACAAAATAACTATTATTGCTGCTTGTGAACTGAAGGATACTTTCAGAAAATACTCAAACTACTGCTTTCCACTTCACTATTAAATAGTATTCTAATTTAAGAAAAAAGTTATAGAATTAACTATGTATTGGTATACCCATTTACCCATATAAGACGTGATTAAATTCTGTCTTGTTCCTCAATTTTGCCCATTACTTCCACATTTCAAAGTCAAAAACACCAGACAACTATTTACAAAGAACTTAAAGGAATGCAATGTGTAGACAGTTCTCTTGTTCTGATCCATGATGAGAGAAGATTTCTCATTTCAGTGAAACTGTTAGTAACAAGAGACTTCATACCTTGAAAGAAGTATGTATCCACAAAATATTAAGGAATCTCTTGTGTCAAGATGGAGATTTCAAATGAAGAAAGCAAGCAATTCAAGTTTTGAGGAAAAAAAAAAATTATTAAGCTAGAGGAGTACATACCCTAAGACATCTGAGATTTGACACAGCCAGTATTTGTTACTGCATTATTACTGCTAAGGAAAGGAGGTGGGAGCAAGCAAAAAGCCCCGGTCAAGTATTGGTTTAGAATTTATGGTCAGACAAACTACATGGCTACATAACACGGACAATTCAAGGACAAAATTCTGTCACAGTACAATGTAAAATTATTTATTTTCACTGTAACTGTATTACTATCTCAGGCATTGCAAATTAAAGGTTTGACTTTTAAAGCATTCAGGCAATTACAGGAAGAAACAGGCATTTCCATAAGTTTCATAGGGTCCTACTTCATCTGTAGGCACCCATGTATGTTCAAAAATCTTTACGATTTACATCATACGTAGCTCCTTCATTGATGGATTTCTCATCTTCCAAACAACCTGTCACTTCTTGCATATGTCAATAAAAGGGTTGCTCTTTTCCTGTAAGACAAACAAACCCTCAAATTACTTCTGTTATAAGACGTCATTTAAACCAAGTTTTCATGGGTCTGCTTATAACCCTTTTCTACCCCACGTACATTTAACAATTTGGTATTTTTTTCATTAATGCAAACAGTTCTACTTTCATTAATCATAGAGACTTAATCTGAAATCTTCCTGGCAGACTGTCAACACAGTAATACCAGTTCAGTTCAAATGCTGAGCTATGTATAGGGAGGCCTGATCCCCCACATCTCAAAAAACCCCAGTGTCTTTAGGGACAAATGCAACCCACAGCCCACTAACTGTAACAAGAGCATCTCCCTTGTACAAGTCACTCTAGGAAGCTTTCTCCATGTGAAAATACAGCTTTCACTCATAGATGGGCATATACTTCAGCAGTGACTTCAAAAATTCAGAACTAGGGAAGTCTTAAGATGGGCAAGAAGAACCGCCTGAATACTCAATTCAGCAGCAAACTGTTGACAACCACCTGCTCCTAAATACAAGCTCACTGACATGTTGCAGGATTGTCTGCTCCTCATTAGAAATTTATCTGGAGGCCACCCTCTGCCCCTTTTAAGCATCATTCATTTAACTTACACATGCATCTCATCGATCCCTCTGGTTTCTATGCAGAAAAATAGATAACATGGGATCAGTCAACACACTGGAATTTTCCCATGTAACTACAGAATCTGCTGCGTGAAGGCAATTAAAGTGCAGAGGAAAGAGGATGGATAATGGAACACCACTTACTGTTCAGCGTAAGTAAATTAAGTGGTTTTGCACGCTCCACTGAAAACAAGTCCTGAATAATGGTATCATCAGGATACAAACACTCTACTATCATTTCTGGTACTGCTCTACCAAGAGTATTGTCTTTAGATGACTTGTTGCACTGCAACAAGTTGTGCAATCTCTCCACAGAGAGGTTGCGAAGTCTCTGCCTGTGGAGATACACAAAACCTGACTGGACATGATCCTGGGCAATCTGCTCTAGCTGACTCTGCTTGAGCAGGGGGGTTTGGCTAGGTGATCTCAAGAGGTTGCCTCCAAACTAAATGATTCTGGGAAATCCATTAAAAGCTACCAAAAACATGCAAAAAACAAACAAACAAGCAAAAAAACCCCAAACCAAATCTAACACTGTTTGCATCAAAACTAAAGCTGTTTGTACTTGTCCTATAGGCTTTCTACTATTAATCAACTTGTTCTCTACTTCAGTGCAGAATGCTCAAACTCTGACAGCCAATCTCAATAAGCAAGGTGTCACACAAAGCAGGCAATTGAATATGACAGACTGATGTCATGCACCAGAAGGAGCCTGAAATCACTGCCTTTTATGGATAGATTAGTTCTGAATTTATCTTCACTTTTTCTTTGATTCCAGGTGCCTTCTCAGATTACATGGTCTAGAATTATCAAATGCTTTTCCTCCAATCTACATATTATAAGAAGTATTAAGAAAGACGCGTAACAGGCTCAATCCTTTTATGAGATATTGGGCTCAGACTATTCTCATTTGAGATAAACCCTCTCCTGGATAGAAAAATTGCTTATTCAGTGTCACTGTTTTAAGAGGAGCTATACACCAACGAGCTCCTCATTCTGAACAGAGGCCTCTCCTATTTCCACGCTGACTAATAAGTCCTGTATTTCATGAAAGTCTCACTAGTAATGTTTTCCAAGAGATGCATCTAACTCAGAGAAGGAAATAATGCAGGTCTTTGTCCTATAAAATGTTTGTAGTTATTGGGTTTTTTTTCCTTCTAATTTTGAAATGTGTTTTACCACTCTTCATTCCTGAAATTCAACATGTATCTTTTCATTTCACGTTAATATATGAGACCTGAAAGTAAGATCCACTAGTTGACAGGCCAAGTCAAGTCTAAGGCATTCCTGAGTAAGATTCAGCTTCTATTCTATTCACAGATTCTTATATTTGGATTCCCATACAGCAAAACTTCACATCTCCAAGTGCTTCAATCTTTTTATAGAAAGTGACTAGCTGGGTTGGGCTCAGGTGTCCCACAAATAAAACTTTCATTTCAGTATATGGTAATGGAATTTCTAACAAGGTTGATCTACTTTAACTGAGATTTTACAATGTTCTTGGAAACAACAGTAATTTTTTCCTCTTCCTTGGCAATAAGGAAACTGCTTAGTGAAAAGCAAGCTGGTATACCCATGCAGACATGCAAAATACATCTTAAAACAGTCCACATCCAAAAAACTTACGTTTAAAACATGTTAATACACCTCCAAACAAACTCCCAAATTACTAAAAATTCAATGTCTACACTGCAATTCAACACTAGAATACAAAAGTGGATAGTTTTATCCTATATTAACAGCAAAACATTTATTCTAGTCAATTCAGAAAAAAAAATACAGACTATCACTGACCAAGTTTCATACTTATAATGTGGAACTAACTTCTGAAGTATGACTGGCAAGCTAATAATATCACCTTTATATACTAATGAGACCAGTATACTTGCAATACCGTTTTCAACAGTCTCCCAGATCACACAGCAAATTCACCAGCTTTTGCTTTCTTTTAATGAGAACGGGATTTTTTTCCTTTAGCTTCCCACTCAACCATCCATACTTTGTGCTTAAGATACCAATAATGACAGCTAAGTGATACACTTTATGTTATTCTAACGCAACATCCTGACTAATAAGGGTTTGCAATTTACCCATCCCCTTTTGCAGGGGGGACTAGAATCAGAAAACTCACTGCTTTTTTATCCGTATGATAAACTAGCATATGCAGGTGGGGGCTTATATACATAGGACTAACGCAAAGCAGAGAAAAGACTTTAAGAGCAGGCCTCACAAACAGTGAGATACTCTTATTTCTAAAGACAAGACTATATATAACTGGATACACTTATGACATCATCCTACAGACACAGATCCCCCAGCCCCAAAACAATCTCTTAACACACATGGAACCCGTCTTGGTTTGCACCAGTTTTTACTATCCTTATTTCCCTCTACCCAAATTATTTGCAATTTAGCCACGTCATGAGCAATTTTAGAGTCCATTTGTCCACTGAGTCCATTTCTGCGGGGGTCCTCCTTTACCTATGAACACGACCATGTGAAAGCGTATATATTATCAAAATTTGCCCCCCTTAGAAACTCAAGCAATAGGAAGAAGGGGAAAAAGTTAAGAAATTCAAGAGATGAAACTTCCCTATCTGCAGGCAGGTTTTCAAACAAGTAAAGCTTTCATCTTGAGGACAAATAAAACAAAAGATGTAAAAAGTACGAACAGGGAAAGCCGATCACTGTCATATATTAGTTTAACTTTGTTTTTCCAAAGAATAGGAATTTTAAAAGTTTAAAACTGACTCAAATTGTGGGCAACACAGTAGTCATCTGGCCGTACTTCTCCAGGATGGGACTTCTATTTCTAGAAGAACTACACCCGATGGCTTCATAAGCAGCCTAGTATGTAGCCTAATTTGATATTATAATGTTTATACCCAAGAACATTTTCCCACACTTGGTGTGTGGAAAGGGAACCATTAGATTTTTTTCTCTTAGCATACGAAGTATTTGAGGATTATTTCATCTCAAAGGTTCAGGTGACACTGCTGGATATCCTTCACAGTCATTTCTATTCATTTCTCCTCAACAACACAGACCAGAGATAATGATTACACAAACTGCATTAAGCTCATTAATAGTTTTGTAGCAGACACTGATGCATGGACAACTGAAACACTGGAATCAGGCTTTCACCAAGCCAGAAATTTATCAAGGTTGTTCTCTATTTTGAAAAGACAGAGCTTTGGTATTCTATGTGAATTCCATCTATGTACTGTGATTTCATAGTAGAAAGCTTTAATATGATTCCATACTGACTTTAATTTGGAAACATACCTGATCTTTTTCCTGATAACAGAGAAAAAAACCTTTTCCTTTGTATGGTACTTGCCATGGTAAGACGCTAAATACCGACTGGGGGAGTTGTGTACAAAAGTAACAGAGCTGAACTGCACAATCTGTCTTTTGAAGGTTTTATCAATTTGGCAGGCTAGTCTGAAGAAAAATGTTTCTTATCAAATGTCTTGTCAAAACCTTCATGACTGTTTTTATAACTTCACTTAATACAAAAAATGCACTTACTGGCTTTTCAAGTACAATTGGATGATCAGGAAGAAACTCTGGCTTCTTCTGAGAGAGAGAAACACTTGAAAGTTTCAGAAGGAAATCTCTGCTGTATTTGATCCTTTCTGTGAATATATAAAATTACTAAAGTTCAGTGTTGTTGATTAAGGCAATAAGGTTGGGAATTCAGAGAACTGATTTGGTTTCTTATAGAAGGGTGGAAATGCTGCATGTGGAAAATAAAAATCAGTATTAAAAACAGCAGTAATTTAAGTCTGACCTTGCATCAGGACAATTTGCAGCATATTACAGAGCATTTCACTTTCAATTTATCAAATTGGCTTAGTAAATATTGAGGACTATTCCAAGCTAATAAGGGTTTGTTGTTTTAATACAAAAAGTACACAAAAAGGTGAATCCAACCTTACACTACACACAGACTCCCTATACCTTGTTCTAATTAACAGAAACACCACAAACTGGTCTTGAAACCCTAGAAGAAAATCCATTTATACACCAAAGCGGCACATGTTTCTATGGGACAGATAACAAAAACTGAGTGTCTCTTTTCTTGGAGCTATTAAGTTGATGTCTTTCAACAGGTAAAAGTAATTATGAGGTCTGCTGCATGTAAACTGGCAAACGGATTAATACCAATGAAATAGTTTTGAGGGTTTTACACTGAATCAACAAGAGTCAGGGGCTTTGCTTAGAACGTGCATGTTATCATTTGAGTTTGTACCACTACCTCTACTCTAGCATAGTCTCAGATATAATATGTCTACCCATTTCCGTATTTTAAGCTGATATTCTTAAACAAGAGCAGAAACAAGAGGAAAGGAATTAGGCAAAGAAGGGACAAACTTTAGCTCTGGTCCTTGGTGACAAAGAAGTTTGTTCCTTTAGGAATAACGGGCCTTCTGCAAGACTGTTACACAATCACTTGATTGACTACAGGTTTTGCTTCCCAGGCTGTAGGCTGTTGACAAGAGAGGCCACAAAGTCAGCTATGAATGTGATTTTTTCCTGCCTTTGACCACAACTGATTGTAATAACTGCTGAATCTATGTGAGGGCATGAGGGTAACTTTAAAAAGAATAGTTTAAAGAACATGAGCATACTTGAAAACTTATGGCTTGTTTTTTTTCCCCTTGTTTAAAAACATACAAAGAAGACTACTTCTGTAAGGCTTTGACACGGTCCCCATAACATCCTTCTCTCTCAACTGGAGAGGTATGGATTTGATGGGTGGACTGTCCGGTGGGTGAGGAATTGGTTAGATGGTCCCATCCAGAGGGTAGTGGTCAACGGCTCAATGTCCAGATGGAGATTGGTGATGAGTGGCATCCCACAGGGGTCC